CTTCAAATTTCTATCTTAATTTGAAGTCTTAACCATTCTGGCATAGTTTCACAAATTCAACTTTAGTCAAGTAAACATGACATTTGTTTTTACCTTTCTTGAATCTATTGATGTACTGTTCTACAAATTCATTTAATTTTTGCCTTAATGTTGAAAGATTTGCCATCGAAATCTCTAGTTCATTTCTCAAGAATTGAGTATGAAACTGCTCTTCTATTTCTTGTCAAATTTGAATTGAATTGGGGTGCAAATTTATGAACCAAGCAAAGTTTGTCTTTGTTAAAGATTGTGGGAATAATTTCATCCTTAAATTCCCATTGTTTTCANATTGAATTGGGGTGCAAATTTATGAACCAAGCAAAGTTTGTCTTTGTTAAAGATTGTGGGAATAATTTCATCCTTAAATTCCCATTGTTTTCAACTTCCCTACATTAAAAAATTAATCTATCTATCTGCTCTTTTGTTGATTGATTCTCTTCACCAGAGTAAATATGAAATTCTAGAATTTTATATCTCTTTGGGAATTCCTCANATGGGAATAATTTCATCCTTAAATTCCCATTGTTTTCAACTTCCCCACATTAAAAAATTAATCTATCTATCTGTTCTTTTGTTGATTGATTCTCTTCACCAGAGTAAATATGAAATTCTAGAATTTTATATCTCTTTGGGAATTCCTCATAGTCAATCCATGGTGGATATGGTTTTTTCAACATAGGCCTCTTAATTTTTCTAAGACTAAGGCCATACAAGTCTTGAATCATCTCTACTTGTTGATTATTGTTAAAAGCCATGTTTTGGTAGCCTTCTAAGTTTTCAAATTGGTCTGAGGGTTGCCCTCCTACCCTAGGGTTGAATTCTTCTATGGGTTCCAGTGGTGGCAAGACATGCTTTTCACGGCCTCTTCTAGGACATTTAGGGGCCTTCCTTGGCCCATTTTGTACTCCTAGGGTTCCTTCCTAAGAAGATATTAGGAAACATTTTGACATGTTCCCCATCAAANAGTTGATTACTGTTAAAAGCCATGTTTTGGTGGCCTTCTAAGTTTTCAAATTGGTCTGAGGGTTGCCCTCCTACCCTAGGGTTGAATTCTTCTATTGGTTCCAGTGGTGGCAAGACATGCTTTTCACGGCCTCTTCTAGGACATTTAGGGGCCTTCCTTGGCCCATGTTGTACCCCTAGGGTTCCTTCCTAAGAAGATATTAGGAAACATTTTGACATGTTCCCCATCAAACTCTAGATTGAAATGATTTTGGTGTTGTGGGTTTGGTCATTTATTTGTCACCATTGTTGGTGGTCTCTAATTTTCTATGGGAAACACCACAGAACCAGTGTTCCCTTCTTTTACCATTTGATTTCTAATTACAGTAGTTGATTTCTGATTAATTGGTCCTACCATTGGCATTTGGACATTCATTAACTCATACATGGCTTTAACAAAATCTTGTCTAATGCTAGAGTTGGAATTGTGCAATACCTTCTTCAAGTTCTGCACAAATTCCTGCATCTGTAGAACTATCTTGGTCATTTTTTGGATTTGCTACTCCAATGGATAGATACTTGAACTTGCTTCACGATTGCCACTATTTGGCATCATTTTCATAGTTTCATTAGTGCCAAACACAATCTCTTCTAGCTTCCTTGTTCCAACTATTTTTTGGATCCAAGTTAGTAATGTTGTCCCACCAGGCATGCCAAAAGATTGTTGCTNACATCTGTAGAACTATCTTGGCCATTTTTTGGATTTGCAACTCCAATGGATAGATACTTGAACTTGCTTCACGATTGCCGCTATTTGGCATCATTTTCATAGTTTCATTAGTGCCAAACACAATCTCTTCTAGCTTCCTTGTTCCAACTATTTTTTGGATCCAAGTTAGTAATGTTGTCCCACCAGGCATGCCAAAAGATTGTTGCTCCAAAAACTGTTGAATTCGATGGAAAAATCCCAATGGATAGAAAATTTTCAAACGATTGTTTGTGATGGGTTGAAATGTCTTATTTTAGACATCCTTAGATGAAATTAATGGATAAATACACAGTACAGAGAACTAATAAAAGATGATTCATTTATTAATTCAATCAAAGGGATTTCGGTTACAGAAAAAATTGAATAAACAATCTTAATTTGTAAAAATAATTTTTTCNTCTGTTGAATTCAATGGAAAAATCCCAATGGATAGAAAATTTTCAAACGATTGTTTGTGATGGGTTGAAATGTCTTATTTTAGACATCCTTGGATGAAATTAATGGATAAATACACAGTACAGAGAACTAATAAAAGATGATTCATTTATTAATTCAATCAAAGGGATTTCGGTTACAGAAAAAATTGAATAAACAATCTTAATTTGTAAAAATAATTTTTTCTTAAAACTAATCTAAAACTGCTCCTAAAATGTCCAGATCATGGATCTTGTNTATTAATTCAATCAAAGGGATTTCGGTTACAGAAAAGATTGAATAAACAATCTTAATTTGTAAAAATAATTTTTTCTTAAAACTAATCTAAAACTGCTCCTAAAATGTCCAGATCATGGATCTTGTGGGAGGTTTAAGTGTGTCTTCATTTTCTCCACTACATGCCCTTTTATAGCTATAGTCTTCGACGATTTTGCTTCTATCAATAGTTACTAGATGCTAACCTCCAATTAGTTATTCTCCTTTTCAAATATGACAGTCGCTGATTATCTCCTGCCTTTCTTTAGATTCTGCCAAGTGATATCTTTTCAATGCATTCAAACTGCCAGATGTCAATAAATTGAATATTTCTAGGATTTTATATTTTATGCCCAAACGGTACCAAAATATTATTTAACAAATGATATATGCCACTGAATCATTAGATTGCACTGAAAAATTTTTATGGAACCCACTAATCTAGAAATCTACATGAATTTAGTAAGAAAAAATTGGTAAGGTATTTGGTAAGAGTAGTAAGGTTATCGAGTATAAGCTTTGCTATGTGACTAGGGGTGACCCTACACATATGGAGGCCTTAAGAGAACATATTGTATGAGGCTTCGTAATATTTAGCATAATAATATGGATAGTACAAAATAATTATCAAGAATCAATATTCATTCATTTTACAAAATTTTTAAGTTCGATGGAGCAGCGGTAGATGTTGAGAGTTGGATAACTCCATATCAAGCTAGATCTGACTGTCCTTATTAAAGTCTTGAACAAATTCCAAAGGCTATACATCTATTCGGGTTATGGCCAATATGACCATGGAATTTTAATATTTTTTTCTATTTATTCAAATGAAAAAAATACTACTTAAATTTAAGTTTTGTGCACGAAAACTACATTAATCAAAGTTTCTGTCGGAGGTCAAATGCAAATAAGCCTACTATCGGTNCAAAGTTTCTGTCGGAGGTCAAATGCAAATAAGCCTACTATCGGTTAAAATGGACAAAGATAATTGAAGCTTTATTTTGATAATAAAATAATCATTTCTGGAACGAGTTTGACTATGAGTTCCCTAGAATAAATAACATGTTGATGGAGTTTGCAAAGAAACAAAGTCAGGTTTAAAGAAAAACAAAATTGGCAAGATGCTTATGCTTATCGTTAGTTTTTGACTACTCCTAGTCAATATGTTTACCAATTATTTTGTGTTCTAAAAAAAATAACCAAGAAAAAAATTCAACATAAACAAAAAAGCCTCAAATTTAACCTAAAAGAAAAGTTACAATTTAAAATAATTAGGTAATAGACAATTAATTAGCTCATCAATTTTAACTGCAAGACAAGAAACATCTACAGTTGGTATATGTATTTAAAATAGTATTATACATAATTCATAGTCAATTTTGACTAAAAAATGCAGTACAAGACACAATTAGAACAATTTTAATCTAATACAATGATTTATCCCTCCATAATACGNGTAATAGACAATTAATTAGCTCATCAATTTTAACTGCAAGACAAGAAACATCTACGGTTGGTATATGTATTTAAAATAGTGTTATACATAATTCATAGTCAATTTTGACTAAAAAATGCAGTATAAGACACAATTAGAACAATTTTAATCTAATACAATGATTTATCCCTCCATAATACGACAACCAAACAACCCCATAAAGTTAAGATAAAATATATGTTTTCACATTTATCTAATAAGATAGCTAGAGACTTAAAACAAAAATTATATAATCCATAAACAATTAGATAGGTCGTAGGCAGCCACCTTAGTGCCTATGCCTTGCCGCCTCTATATGTGATTTATAGGGCCAATAAGTGTGTATAATTTAGAACTAATAAAAAGAAGTAAATGTTACACACAATACCAACCAAACTATTATTGCTTTCATTTGAAATTGTTGTCTCTTATTTTTTTTTTTAATTTCTTCCATTTTTTGTTAGGAGTTTTGGCTAGATTCTTTTCTAAATGAGTTTTGTGATCCAATGAACTTGAACCATTGGGATTTCAATTCCATTAGTTTGTCGAATTGCAAATGACCTTGCAAAAGTTTCACTTTAGTCTATGTACCATCTATTTCTCAATATTTATTGATTTCACATTATTCCAAAATTCATATGAAAATAGACATCAGACGACAAAATAGTCATGTGTTGGGGCAATGTGAAACCCAAAGGGGGAAGTTTGAAACGTATTAACATAGTTGATGGGACAATGTGTTAGGCCCATAACCATTTTGGGTCAAAAATTACATGGTTGTTTTGTTTTGGTGTAGTAGGGAATAAAACATTCCCTCTGCCCCCAAAAAAGAAAAAAAAAATAAAGCAAAATTTGTCCAATTGCTTGAGCAAACAAGAATAATTAAAGCTTTTATTAAACATTCTTTTTCTTTTGCATTTTGTAGGTGTTATACCACTAGAGATTGGCAATCTTTATAAGTTGGAGAGATTAGGAGCCGGTTTAAACAACCTTAGGGGTGCTATTCCAACAACAATTTTCAACATCACAACAATTCGATACATTCACCTATCGAAAAATAATCTTTCAGGAACTCTTTCGTCAAGTATGGGCCTTAGGCTTCCCAATCTTGAAACCATTGAATTGGGACATAATTACTTGAATGGAATTGTTCCCGACTCTATCTCAAATGCTTCTAGAATCACCAAAATATATTTCGGTGCCAACCAATTCTCTGGTACTTTACCCAAATCATTGGGTAGCCTAGAACTCCTTGAAGATCTTGTGTTGCCAGGTAACAACTTTACTATAGAATCCTCATCTATGGAGTTAACCTTCGTCACTTCTTTGATAAATTGCAGACAACTAAGGGTATTGAGCGTATTTGGAAATCCTTTCAATGACATTCTTCCAGTTTCCATTGGCAATCTCTCCACTTCTCTTTATACTATGGATGCAAGCTATTGCAAATTTAAAGGGAACATTCCTAATGAGATTAGCAATTTAACCAATTTGGCATTCTTGGATCTTGATCATAATGACATAGATGGATTAATTTCGACGACAATCAAAGAGTTGTGGAAACTTCAAATTTTGCATCTTTAACAAAACAAAATACCAGGATCTATTCCGAGTGGTGTTTGCCATTTAAGGAACATGGGTTTTCTAGATTTGAGCAAAAATGAGTTTTCTAACTCTATGCCAACATGCTTTGAAAATATTACTTCTCTAAAATATCTCTATCTGGATTCCAACAAGTTAACTTCTAGCATACCCACAAACCTATGGAGACTCAAAGATCTTTTGGAGTTGAACATGTCATCAAATTCTTTAACTGAGTATATAAGAGCAACTCCAAGGAGGCTATGTAAACTAGCTAGCAAAAATATATTTTTTTATTATATTATCTACTTTAGCCAACCACTTTTTCAAATTCACTCCAACCATGCTATCTATTTTAGCTAACTATTTCAACTAACTTTAACTAACTATTAATTATTAAAATCTAAAATACTATGTAGTATGTCATATCATCACCTTATTGATGACATCACATGCTGACGTGTTACGCTACATCATCAAAATTTTAAAATTTTATTTTTTTTTAATAATGATCATATTTATAGCTGTCACAAAATTCAAAATTTTAAAATTTGAATTTTTCAACGGTCATATTTGTAACGACTATATTTACAACGGTCATATTTTTGGATATGTATAAATAGGATCTTTCATCTCTCATTGTCATACACCTCAAATCTATTTATTGGCATTGCACTCTCATTTGTGTTTATGTTATGGCTTGTCATCCTTTAATGAAGATGATTCTTAACGATTCTGACTCCGATGATGAATTGGAGATGACAACAATTTGTGCTATCGAAATGAATAAACTCAATAGCGAAGAAAGCTCTGGTGTACGTCGTGGTTCCATTGAAGGTCATTCAGTTATTTTTTGCAATCGAGTTCAGGGGCACAAGAGACTATATCGTGATTATTTTGCTGAACCGTCTATCTAACCCCCAAATTTATTTCGAAGAAGGTTTCGAATGAATCGAGCCCTTTTCTTTCGTATTCTATCCATGGTGGAAGATTATGATTTATATTTTGTCCAAAAAAAAGATGCTGCTAGAATTACTAGCTTGTCTTCCTTTCAAAAGATGACAGTCTCCATAAGGATGCTTGCTTATGGAGTTGCAGTAGATGTTGTTGATGATTATGTGAGGATTGGCGAAAGCACAACAATAGAAAGTTTAAAAATATTTGTGAGGGCAGTAGTAGAAATTTTTTCTGATGAATAGCACGGGCAGTTGATGGGTTGGCTAGCAAGCCTTACCCTAGAGGACGAGGCGAGACGGGAGTTGGGTCTACCTTGGGTTGTGTGTGAGTATGAGGATGTTTTTTCTGATGAATTACCGGATTACCTCCACATAGGGATATAGACTTCACCATTGAGTTGTATCCTGGTACATCGCCTATTTCTATGACTCCGCATAGGATGGCGCCAGCTGAGTTGCAAGAACTCAAGGTCCAATTGCAAGAATTGTTGGACAGGGGCTTTATTAGACCCAACACTTCACCTTGGGGCGCTCCGGTATTGTTTGCCAAGAAGAAGCACAAGACTCTTCGATTGCGTATAGATTATCGGTAGTTGAATCGAGTTACTATCACGAATAGGTCCCTTTGCTGAGGATTGATGACTTGTTTGATCAACTGAGAGGGGCGTGGGTCTACTCCAAGATAGATCTCCATACCGGTTACCATCAGTTGAGGTTCAGAGAGGCGGATATCCCTAAGATGGCGTTTCGGACGTAGTATAGGCATTTCGAGTTTACAGTCATGCCTTTCGGATTGACGAATACCCCGACGGCATTCATGGATCTCATGCATAGGGGGTTTCAACCCTACCTTGATCAGTTCGTCGTGGTTTTTATTGACAACATCTTGATCTACTCCAAGTCTGAGAAGGAGCATGAGGGTCACTTGAGAGTTATTCTTCAGACCTTGAGAGACCATCAATTATTCTCCAAGTTTAGCAAGTGTGAATTTTAGCTTACGAAAATGAAATTCTTAGGGCACGTGGTGTCGGCCTCGGGTGTATCCATAGACCCGGAGAAGGTTGAGGCAGTCATGAATTGGGAGAAGCCAAAGTCAGTTTTTGAGTTACGCAGTTTCTTGAGATTGGCGGGGTATTGCCGGAGGTTTATTGAGGACTTCTCCCGACTAGCTACACCTATGACCAAGTTGACCCGGAAAGAGGTCAAGTTTGAGTGGAATATTGCGTATGAGAAGGCATTCCAGGAGTTGAAGCGGAGACTTACTTCTGCCCCTATTTTGATAGTCCTGAAAAGGGGATAGAAGTATAAAGTATATTGTGATGCCTCNATATGAGAAGGCATTCCAGGAGTTGAAGCGGAGACTTACTTCTGCCCCTATTTTGATAGTCCTGAAAAGGGGATAGAAGTATAAAGTATATTGTGATGCCTCCAAGGACGGACTTGGATGTGTTTTGATGCAGTCCAGAAGGGTGGTGGCTTATGGTTCTCGACANTTTAGCCAACCACTTTTTCAAATTCACTCCAACCATGCTATCTATTTTAGCTAACTATTTCAACTAACTTTAACTAACTATTAATTATTAAAATCTAAAATACTATGTAGTATGTCATATCATCACCTTATTGATGACATCACATACTGACGTGTTACGCTACATCATCAAAATTTTAAAATTTTTTTTTTTTAATAATGATCATATTTATAGCTGTCACAAAATTCAAAATTTTAAAATTTGAATTTTTCAACGGTCATATTTGTAACGACTATATTTACAACGGTCATATTTTTGGATATGTATAAATAGGATCTTTCATCTCTCATTGTCATACACCTCAAATCTATTTATTGGCATTGCACTCTCCTTTGTGTTTATGTTATGGCTCGTCATCCTTTAATGAAGATGATTCTTAACGATTCTGACTCCGATGATGAATTGGAGATGACAACAATTTGTGCTATCGAAATGAATAAACTCAATAGCGAAGAAAGCTCTGGTGTACGTCGTGGTTCCATTGAAGGTCATTCAGTTATTTTTTGCAATCGAGTTCAGGGGCACGAGAGACTATATCGTGATTATTTTGCTGAACCGTCTATCTATCCCCCAAATTTATTTCGAAGAAGGTTTCGAATGAATCGAGCCCTTTTCTTTCGTATTCTATCCATGGTGGAAGATTATGATTTATATTTTGTCCAAAAAAAAGATGCTGCTAGAATTACTAGCTTGTCTTCCTTTCAAAAGATGACAGTCTCCATAAGGATGCTTGCTTATGGAGTTGCAGTAGATGTTGTTGATGATTATGTGAGGATTGGCGAAAGCACAACAATAGAAAGTTTAAAAATATTTGTGAGGGCAGTAGTAGAAATTTTTTCTGATGAATAGCACGGGCAGTTGATGGGTTGGCTAGCAAGCCTTACCCTAGAGGACGAGGCGAGACGGGAGTTGNGAAAAGATTTGTGAGGGCAGTAGTAAAAAAATTTTCTAATGAATAGCACGGGCAGTTGATGGGTTGGCTAGCAAACTTTACCCTAGAGGACGAGGCGAGACGGGAGTTGGGTCTACCTTGGGTGGTGTGTGAGTATGTGGATGTTTTTTCTGATGAATTACCGGATTACCTCCACATAGGGATATAGACTTCACCATTGAGTTGTATCCTGGTATATCGCCTATTTCTATGACTCCGCATAGGATGGCGCCAACTGAGTTGCAAGAACTCAAGATCTAATTGCAAGAATTGTTGGACAGGGGCTTTATTAGACCCAACACTTCACCTTGGGGCGCTCCGGTATTGTTTGCCAAGAAGAAGGACAAGACCCTTCGATTGCGTATAGATTATCGGCAGTTGAATCGAGTTACTATCACGAATAGGTCCCTTTGCTGAGGATTGATGACTTGTTTGATCAACTGAGAGGGGCGCGGGTCTACTCCAAGATAGATCTCCATACCGGTTACCATCAGTTGAGGGTTAGAGAGGCGGATATCCCTAAGATGGGGTTTCGGACGCAGTATGGGCATTTCGAGTTTACAATCATGCCTTTCGGATTGACGAATACCCCGGCGGCATTCATGGATCTCATGCATACGGGGTTTCAACCCTACCTTGATCAGTTCGTCGTGGTTTTTATTGACAACATCTTGATCTACTCCAATTCTGAGGAGGAGCATGAGGGTCACTTGAGGGTTATTCTTCAAACCTTGAGAGACCATCAATTATTCTCCAAGTTCAGCAAGTGTGAATTTTGGCTTACGAAAATGAAATTCTTAGGGCACGTGGTGTCGGCCTCGGGTGTATCCATAGACCCAGAGAAGGTTGAGGCAGTTATGAATTGGGAGAAGCCAAAGTCATTTTTTGAGATACGCAGTTTCTTGAGACTGGCGGGGTATTGCCGGAGGTTTATTGAGGACTTCTCCCGACTAGCTACACCTATGACCAAGTTGACCCGGAAAGAGGTCAAGTTTGAGTGGAATATTGCGTATGAGAAGGCATTCCAGGAGTTGAAGCGGAGACTTACTTCTGCCCCTATTTTGATAGTCCCNCTATGACCAAGTTGACCCGGAAAGAGGTCAAGTTTGAGTGGAATATTGCATATGAGAAGGCATTCCAGGAGTTGAAGCGGAGACTTACTTCTGCCCCTATTTTGATAGTCCTGAAAAGGGGATAGAAGTATAAAGTATATTGTGATGCCTCCAAGGACGGACTTGGATGTGTTTTGATGCAGTCCAGAAGGGTGGTGGCTTATGGTTCTCGACANCTACACCTATGACCAAGTTGACCCGGAAAGAGGTCAAGTTTGAGTGGAATATTGCATATGAGAAGGCATTCCAGGAGTTGAAGCGGAGACTTACTTCTGCCCCTATTTTGATAGTCCTGAAAAGGGGATAGAAGTATAAAGTATATTGTGATGCCTCCAAGGACGNAATATTGCGTATGAGAAGGCATTCCAGGAGTTGAAGCGGAGACTTACTTCTGCCCCTATTTTGATAGTCCCGAAAAGGGGATAGAGGTATACAGTATATTGTGATGCCTCCAAGGATGGACTTGGATGTG